ACTGTAAAAGCTCATGGATTGAGTCAAAGTCTGGCCGAAAAAAATTTCCACAAGCGAATCTCTATGCCACCCGCAGACCGCTAGGATCTAGAAATTCAGCCCTAGAAGAAGGTAGAGAAATTCCAGGCACTATCAGGCTGTTTACTTCACAAACCCCTGTGGTCATTTGTTTACTAGCTCAATGGGATTATGGAAAAGCAAGTCACCAAATTAAAAGAATTTCCACTTATCAGGATACCCCACAAAACAGAGAGAAATGGTTTCAAACTTGCTTACAAGAAATGAGAAGCTTACCTTACCAGACTTATGCTTTTCCTTACAAGATTGCCTGTGGGCTAGCCGGAAGAAACTGGAATCATTATAGCCATTATATTGAACAATTTGTACACCCTTATGACAAACAGGTGTACATTCTTCATCAACCTTGAGTGTATGTATGTGTTATTGTTGTTTTGATGAAAAATAAATTTTAAAATGTGTCTATGTGTTTTATATAAATTTATTTAAAAAGGGGCTTCTGTGGGTTTTTTTTTCTTTTCCATATTTATTATAATTTAAATAAAATTTAAAAAAATCAAAGTTATTTTTTAAAAAAAGAAAAAAAAATCTTAGTTTAAAAAAATTAAAAAAAATTTTTCTATAAAAATATAGATAAGTGACCTGGTGTTAACTTGATACACACATAAAACGTTTCTTTTTTCTACCCACTGTATGAGAAGGGTACTCTTTTCTTAGACACAAATCGTTTCTTTTTGACTGTATCTTTAAAAGGTACTCTTTTTCTTAGCCACACCACGTTTCTTTGACTGTATTTTAAAAAAGATAATCTTTTCTTAGACACAATCGTTTCTTTGACTGTATTTTTTAAAAAAAAGAATCTTTTTTCTTAGACACAAAAGTTTTCTTATTACCATTGTATAAAAAGGTATTCTTTTCTTAGACACAAATCGTTTCTTTTTGACTGTATTTTTTAAAGGTACTCTTTTTCTTAGACACAACACGTTTCTTTGACTGTATTTTAAAAAAAGATCATCTTTTCTTAGACACAATCGTTTCTTTGACTGTATTTTTTAAAAAAGATAATCTTTTTTCTTAGACACAAGTTTCTTATTGCCATTGTATAAAAAGGTAATCTTTTCTTAGACACAACACGTTTCTTTTTTTACTGTATTTTAAAAAAAAGGTACTCTTTTCTTTTTCTAAGACACAAAATGTTTCTTATTTACCACTGTATAGATGGCATCTTTTCTAAACAATTGGGTGGCCGTGAAAACGGCCGTTGGGTAGATTTTTTTATACAGGGTTTACTCCCAGGGTGTCCCCTGCCTCGTCCTCGACCCCGGAACTCTGGTCGCTCTGAGAGGGGTGTCCTGGCTGAGGGTGCTGGCGGCGGCGGTCTGGTGAGGGGTGGCGGTCTAAGTGGGCGTGGATGCTGTAACCTCACGCCGCATGGTGCCCGGACGCCGCGGGTGGCCACGTTTCTCGGGATAGGGGCGCTAGGTTCCCGTCGTCTGCAGATTGGGGCAGCAGCCTAAGGGCGGAGTCTGGAGGACCAGCACCTCCGAGCACCGGTAACAGGCGGGCCTGTTCCGGCACTGGCAACAAACGTAATTCGAGGGCTGGTCCTCCAAACATACTGCACACTGGGGGATCCGGGCCTCGGATAGCTGGATCCCCCAGACTGGCACGGGTCCTCTGGGGACGGGCGATCTGGCTGGGGTGCTGTCCGCTCCTCCGATGACGATGAGGACTGTCTGGGGTCCAGTCGTTGGTGACGGGGGGCTCCCAGCTCGAATCAGAGTCCCATCCTGCTGCAGCTGCCGCTCTCTGGGTCTGACTAGGGGACCAGGTGGGTGTTGGAGGTCGTCGAGGGGGGGGGGACGGGCTCCTGGGGCTGATTACAGGAGGGGGACGGATTCCTATAATCCTCTGGGCTGCTAAGGGGTGCCGAGAATCCTGGGGATCCCTGGGGTTGTTCTTCATCATCGCCCTCTCTGCTCTCTGTCCGTCTGTAGGGTGTAGCCCGCCTTGTCTGTCTTCTTCTCTGGCGTCTCTCCCTCTGTGCTCTTATATTCTCATTCCTGGCCATCGGGCCAGCTCTCGTCCCTTGGTCACATCCCTTACTATCCACACTGCGAGAACTTCCACTCAGCTCACGAGAAAAGATCTTCTTCAGAAGCCATCGTGGCGTATATAGGACACTAACGAATAACGCCGACTGCTGGCGAGCGTCTGTATTACTGCACAAATTACGAACGTTATAGAGAGCACCTCGATGGCGAGAGCCGAAATATCATGGCGAACCGAAATTGTGTGATTTGTACTTTGGGACATAGACCTTTTCATGGATTATTTAATGTGTATTCATAGTAGGATTCCATTATGATACAGGTCTAAACAAGGTAAGTTTCCTGCTTCTTTTCATACTAGAATTGATACATGACATGCATCCGTCGGGGAGAAAAGAATAAAAAACCTCGAAGCGACGAGGCGAAATCCAGTGACCCAAGTGTATGAAATAAGTCTTTTAAGTCTTTTTAAAGGGTGAGATCAGGAAAACTTATGTGGGTTAGGGAGAAGGGACCTAGAGAAGAGTGTCGATATAGTTTTTATTTCAAAAGAATCATGATCAGGGTAAAAAACAAGCTAAAATAGGTTTACCTATAGACACAATGGGGGGTCAGAGGTCACGGATTTTCAGAAAATAATACTATGAGATAAATAAGGATTCTTGGAATCTAGCCTTCATCTGACTGATATTTTAAGAAAAATGGAATGTCATGAGATTAAAAGCAATTCGTATCTACTTTTTAGATCATGTAGGAGTCTTGATCGTTTGTTTTTACCAAAATCGAAAACTGACTTGTCATCGGGTGTTAACAACGCATTGCATACACATCCCCTGATTTTTAAAGTAACCAGATTTTATGAAAGAAAATTTTATATGAAAAGAATCGTATTGCTTTGAAAATCATTGGTATTTACTTTATGGATCATGATCCACTCCAGTTTTTTTTTTACAATGTATTTGATCAAAAACCATACAGAGACTCCGCGTCTAAAAAGAATTCAAGATGGCGTCATAAATAACGAAAGACTGACGTATTATTACATGATTTATTTCTAAAAAAAAAACTAACAAAGCTTCTAAGTGTCGAATTCTCCTCGAACAGGTATATAAAGCAAAGCTGGGAATTGAAGATCAGTCTTTGTTGGCATTTTGACAGACGTGAAAATATGACAGAAGCAATGATGAATACCCCAAAGAACCCTTGTTATGTGACACATGAAGGGTCTCCATGCCAGAGTCACAGGATACAGTTGGATTGGACTTGGGCATGTATAATCTTCCAGAATACATGAATAAAGAAGATATAGGTATCTTGACTACAACTCTGGATGGGATTGTCAACATGCTGACTGGTATTGATAACAAGCTGACTGGTCTGAAAAATTACAACACCAGTGAATTTTGTTTGATTCGTGCAAAATTATCCAAATTAGAAGTGAAAGTCACTAACATGCAAGACAAAATGAGAGGAGGAGGAAGCACTTACCAGAAAAAAAGAGGAACAAGGGGGATCCGGAGATACTTAGAGAACAAGACAGACGGATCCATGCTACATCTTTAAAGAGTTAGGGCATTGGGGCCTAGATTGTCCCAGAAAATAACAGGATTTGTGCTACAAGTGTGGGAAATTTGGCCATTGGGCTAATAAGTGTCCAGAGGATAAGGAGGAGGATCAACAAATGGAAAAAGAAATAGAAAAACTGGAGAAAAAGCCTCAGGAACCCAAGACTTCAGGGACACATCAGACCAAACCCTTAGTGAAAGAAGGAGATAAAAAAGAGAAAAAGGAACACAAGAGAGAGATTCAAGGCCCCAGCACTACTCACAAGAGGAAACTGTCCCTGACGACCGATAAGGCCCAGAAGAAGAACGCAGTACAGTTAAGGCAACACATGAAAAAAATATGGTAATGAAGTCATAATGAGGTCTGACGTCATGACAGTTGCTCCGCCCTGATTGATCCATATAAGGAAATAGTGCTCAAAATAACTATTTACTGATATTTGCAAGACTTTGTAATAAACAGCAATATTTTCATGTTTAAATGGAAAATAATTAGTGATTTTCTCATATATTTAATAGCATGTCTTTAAAATAATTCTCTTTTTAATGTGTCGTTTGTCTGCATTCGGCTTCAGCCAAGCGCTTGCACTCGGTGACACGGAATGTTGTTTACATCTAAAAAGCGTGGCCACATCAGCTGAGATTTGCAGTGGATTTAAATGCAATAACCACACAATCTTTAAAGAAAATTGGGATAGGATAAGAGACAAGGCATTGCTTCTCCCTTTTACGAGAATATGAGGACATTATTTCGGAGAATGTCAGAAAACAGAGACGATTTGCACAAGCTCCGTAGATCCATTACTAATATTCCAGGCCAGGTATGTATGCGCATATGTAGGTACATATACATGTATAGATCTACAATATGTATTCTTCATGCTTTTATCAACATCAAAGAAAAACCCCGAGTGTGTGCGTGTTCATTTAGATGTATTATTTATCACAGTCAGTGAAAAATTGTAATACATTGCCTTGTGTGTACCCCCCCCCCCCCCCCCCTATACTAAGTTGCACACTTTATCACTTTTTAGAATTATTAAAATTTAACTGCACTAAATATGTACTGAGTTCTTGTCAATTAGCTCATTTTCTTTGAGACAATATGTGTAGTAATGGAGGTCATTAACAACACAAATTTAAACTAAATTAAATGAGATGTTTTCATTGTTTCAGTCAATGGTTCACTAGTGACTAGGCCTAAACAAGCAATGATCATGTCATTTGACATACTAATATGCTACACAATTCAAAAAAATTATCAGTGTCATTATGTTGAAAACGTAGAACCTCAACTGGTTGTAATTTTCTAGAATTTTTATATTAATGAAAAAAAAATATTCATTTTTTGTTTAGATTACATGTACATGTACATTAAAAATATTTGTATAATACTTTTATCATTGTAGCTGTCCAGAGTTTCAGGCTTAAAGAACATGAAGAATGAATAAATAAAAAATGAATCATTTCTCCACAGGGTACATGTATGTATACTTCTAATTAAAATTTCACATTTTTAAAGTATGCATGTGCTATATAATTTTTTTTTTCATTTTGGTAATGGTGAAACTCAGGATTTTGTTTAGAAAATATTCTAGTATTAATAACTGTTGTAAATGTCAGAGGTTTCACTTTCCCAGAGAAGTTCTGTAACACATTTTTTTTGCCATTTATATGAATAACATAAATTCACTACAGTATACAATGTAGCATAATTTGCTTTGTCAAATGTAATGCCATTTTATTCGACAATGTATATTTAGTAATCTTATAGCATATAACTGCATACTTTATATATTGTGTTGTAGGCCTAGCTATTCCCAAATGTTGGACTAATGGATTCATTCAGGCAGCAAGTTAATCCATCATTTAAGGAAACTGGTATGCTCAATATTGGCTATAAACCATACAATATTCCTGGCAAGATTATTGAATTGTTTTGATAATAATTAAAAACTAACAGAAGAATTGAAAACATGTATATGCATTCTATGTTAAATGTTTTAATGCATTTTTTTTTATTTCACTTTTTTTAAACACAAATTACTTTCAATAATGGTATTTCCTGATTTTTTCTCATATTTTCAGAATTCATTTTATCCACAAGAACATGAGGTGATGGAAATAATTTGCACCTGCCCTGCATTCCTAGTCTGTCATTGGATTTGTAAAGAAATGTTTATTAAATAAAATTTCTAGAACTAATAATTTGACTTTTTCATATATTTACTGTACAGGTGTTGAAAAGGCTATTAAGATTTGAAAATCTTATTGCATACATATTTTGTGTGGAGGGTACTGATGTCCATCAATATCTTATTTCCAGCATGTACATTGTGTTCATATATTTTTCAATAAATTACCAAAAACAGGAGACAAGAGACCCCCCCTGATTGATTCAAAATAGGATAAGGGACCACCATTTGATTCTGAGGGAAGGGGAGGGGGGTGGCAAGTTTTTCCAAGTCAAATTTTTTTCATTCTCATGTCAATGAAGGACAGATGAATATTTATTTCCGATCAACAAGATGAAGAACAGATTATTTATTTTTCTCATTGAAAAGTCTAACAAGCAAAAAAAAAAATTCAAAAACTCTGATTCGTGGAAGGGCGAGATCACTGATCTGCAAGTATTTATTTCTAAAATCTGCCAGCCCCTCCCCCTCATGATCTCGTATGCAGAAAGAAAAGAAAAATTATTAACACAAGTGTGTGTACCATAGGCGTCGGAAGCAAAATGAAAGGGGGGCTATTAGAGAGGGTGGGGGGTGGGGGTAAACCAACAGAGACAGGTAAATTCCAAAGCCTACATTATGTAATCTATATAATTTGCAAATAAGTAGCTATAGGTAGGCTAAGCCCCCCCCCCCCCCCCCCCCGGTTCCGACGCCTATGCGTACATTAGTAAGAGAGGGGTATAGATACGTATTTAATTAATTTCTTATTAATGGAGGAAGCTATATTTTAATTAACCATTTGTTTTCTACATGAATATACAAGGCCGTAACTAGGCTCAAATTTATAGTGAGGCAAAGGTGCTGGGAATTTTAGTCCCATATGGGGCAAGGATAGTATCTGATGGTCAGAGATGGGGGTTTCCAGGGAGAGGTGGATCCTGAAACCTGGGTACTAGAAAACAAAAGATTTAATCTTGGAATGTATTTTGTCGCCCGCATGGCACAGTAGTTATAGCGTATGCTGTAGAGTCGCAGACTAAGGAGTTGATCCTTATATCGCGGGTTCGAATCCCACTACAGGATCTGGAGACTGGTCCTTCGGATGAGACCATAAAATCCGAGGTCCTACATTGCATGCCACAGTAAGAGATGACACAAAAAAGTTCTCTCACTCTTCAATCATCTTTAATGACCCAGAAAGCCCAGTGCAGCCCTCCATCGGCAAGAAGTAGTGTCTCAATATGAATAAGAAAATCTTAGAAGGGATGTTAAACAATTTACAAAACGAACATTTTGAATTATATTTTACATGCGTTCTAAATGGAAAACTGGTGAGATGAACGATTTGGAGAAATTGAAACAAAAGTTGAAAATATTTATTTACTTTGAAGACACATAATTTTATGTTTCATATTATTTCAGTCTAAAACTTTTTCACTTTTTAGAAAACTGAAAAATTTTAGTGAGGCATTTGCCTCATTTGCCTCAATGGTAGTTACGGCCTTGATATAGCGGCAATATTTAGACCTATGTGTGTGTAATACTAACTTCTTTGAGGAAATGCGGGAGGTTTGAAAGACGTCTTTTACCATACAGTAAATGTGTACAATGTATCGAGAACGAATACACAAAATAGAAAGAAATGTCAAGAATTTTATGCATACCGTTTTGATTTAGTTAAAAAAAGAGTCCAGCCCTGTCCGCATGTATATTTATTAAAATTTACGAGGTAAATAAACTATATCAAGTACTCAAGAGTTATCTCCCATGCTGGGTCAATGATGCGTTTGAAAACTATAATTAGATTGACTCTTCCAAGATTTCAATTTTTAATCAAAAAGTGCAAGGGCAAGGCGACAATTTCAAAAGTAGGTTTTTATTTTAAATTATTTATTTTTTTGTGTAGTTTTCGAAAAGTGATGCTCATTTCTTTGTAATCCTTTAGTTAATTTATAATTCACGATGAAATTTGGAAAATATCCTATTTTTCATACAATACTGTCTGTATAAGCTGAATAACTTAATTATATCGGAAAACTAACTGAATGAGCATCACTTTTGAGAAAGTATAGATACCTAGGGACAACATAAAACATTTTGCAGTTAATTTTTTGTTTGCCTTGCCCTTGCACATTTTGATTAAATTTGACATATCATTTTTTGACCTAAAATCGGAACCCACGTGACTTCAGGGGGTCACATGATGTCAAAAAATACCGATGTGAAAAGCGATGGACATACTTTTCAAGATAACAAATAGCTATTTTAACTAGAGTGTCTTGCTAAAAAATAAAACTGTTAGGCATAAAATGTAACGGATTCCGTGAGTTTTTATAGAAAATGTTGCCTTAACTGTACTGCGAAAAAGTAATTTATGTATTTTGGTTCTGAATAAAATTTGTTATTTTTTGTATTGTGTTGTTGTTTTCGAAAAATCCAGTTTGAACCGGCTGGGCTAGACTGTGAATGAAAACGTGACGTCATAATCACATTCTTGACTGGCTGCCAAATCGTAGTAGCGTAGTAAAAAAAACTAGGATAGTGTAAGCGTCCAATTGGACATATAAGGGCTGTGTACTGAGTTGACCCACTTAGCCCCAGGGTTAGGGTTATGGGCTAGGGGTTAGGGTTAGGGTCAGGGCTGTACTCAGTTGACCCACCTAGCCCCAGGGTTAGGGTTAGGGTTAGGGGTAGGGCTGTAATGAGTTGACCCGCCTAGCCCCACCCCAGGGTTAGGGTAATGTTAGGGTTAGGGGTTAGGGTTAGGGTTAGGCGCAGCACATTTAAGGTTATTGTAAGGAGGCGGGGCCTAATTTGTACGGGAAATGTTTACTGTGACGTCACACATAATGTTATGTCTTCAAAATACCATAAAATGAATTTTTTTGCTATTTCAAACAGCTGGATAGCTGTAAACTATATACAAACTTACAATTACTTGCAGTTTTGTCGTTTCCTAAATCCCACACAACAGTATATAAACGATGCATCGATCGCAATGCACTTGTCAACGTAACGTCATCTGACGTAGTTTGTACACAGTGAGAGGCTGATAAAGTCACATTTTGTACAATGAAAAATGTGTTTTGTTCTCAAATAAAATATTTTTTGCAGTAAAATAAAAAGCCGTTAACTTGGATGCGATGTCTTTTTTAGTTTATAATTTATAAACTGTACGCATTCTCCAGACAAGCGATACTGCCGTGTGTTTGTATGCAGATTCATTGAAAAGGTAATGGAAGGGGCCTAATAAATCGATTAATTGCAAGGGCATACCCTCAATGCATCTTGTCAAAATTTTACACATAAAATCAAGAAGCATTTAGATATTTGAAAAGTGCTGCGAACCTCTTGAAATCTTGCAAATAAATTAATTATAGCAATATTCAATGTAGTTGACCAGCAAAATATTCAACCTGCCGTCCTACAAATTTAATTTTACCAATTAAAAAAGGGAATCTATATACGTTCGCAGCACTTTTCACAAACTACATATAGTGTTGAAAAGGATTATAAAATTGACTAAGATTTTTATCTTGGTTATGCCCTTGCAATATTTAAATTTATAGATGACCTCTAAACGGCAAGTATAATTGCCAAAGTCATGTGACGTCGACATCACAGGACAAGTCTAAATAAAAAATCTAAATGTCCCCAACATGTAGATTTAAACCACATTACATATTTTTGATATCAGTGAATTCCTAAAAAGAATCGCCCATCCAAATAAAGTATGTATTTTTTATCTTACAAAATCGCCGATATTTCCATTTGTAACCTTAACTGTGCTGCGTGGCTGTACTGAGTTGACCTCCCTATCTCCCCAGCCCCTAAAAGTGCACTCCTTTGACCCACCCAGCGGCTTAGCCAATCAGAATCCAGCATTTTTTACCTCATTTGCATAAAAAGTGGACTCAGTTGACCTCCCCGGCCAAGAGCCTTATTCTACTAACATGATTCATTTCTCTGCTTATTTACCTTTAGAAAATAGTGTCTGGTGCCGTCGCTCAATTCATTTTTTTGATATATTGTGTAAAATGCTTTATAAAATCACACAGATAAATATCTTTGTAGGCAAGCATCATAATCTCAGATTGCTAAGAGGAAAACAGTACTTTGAATAATAAAAAAAATAAATACATACTCAATACTTATGATTCTGAAAATTTATTTTAGACCCATGTTTACGCCGCTCTCACTTTGCATGGTATATTTATAACATGCATACACCTTCTGAATCTTTGTCTCAACAGTATGATAATTTAATCACTAAAACTACTTACAAATCCACTTTCCATGATAATCAAGAGAATGAATGATTTCATATAGGGAATCCTTTCAATCGTCATTTCCTGCAAAAAATGTAAATAATTAATAATTATATTCAATATTTTTAAAAATATTCTATTCACCAGATTTTAAACACAGGTAATATCAAATACATGTATATTAATTAATTCGACTATTCCGTCAATTTAGTCAAAATCCCATGTAGATCGGTAAGAGAAGCGTCGCACATGCAATACCTAAAAGTTGATAACTTTAATTAAACAAATGATATAAACATTACGCAGTACTGTTAAGGCTTCCCGGAGCTTAAAATGCATTTAAAACGTAATTCTGCATTGCAAAGATGATTTTGAGTTTTATTTTTAAGTTATGTACTTCAGTACGCAAATTCATACAGAGAATCTTCTAGGCTATATATAAACATATTTGTTGCGATGTCACATGATCTTGTTGATCACTCGACGGCCATTTCTTCTTTTTTGAGATGTTTCACATAAATCGCTTCGGCACAGGTTATTAACACAATTATTATTAACTAAGTTTTTGTCGTATAAATAAACTCGTTGCATCCTTGTTAAACCGAAATATGCTTGGGAAAAGTTATACTATTTCTTTGGAACAAATTATTTAATATTAACCTCAACTTACCGACAAATTTGAAGGTACTTTCCGCTTAATATCGTCATCTCTTT